CTGCCTATAACTCCGTTTATCTCCGTTTATCTCAGTTTACATGCAAACGCGCAACCGGAGTTTTCCAAAATCTCCACTCTGGCCGGAGTTTTTAGAAAGACTCGTTTTCAGAGGAGAAATCTCCGTTTGCGTGTAAACGAAGGGCACAAACGAAGGAAGATGTCTCCGTTTATCAAAATCACCGTGTACGTGTAAACGGCCTCTAACCTGAACCTGGCTCTTTTTTCCTAAAAAACAATTGTATGTCCATGATGAGGCGGTCTCTCTGTCTGTACACACACACACACACACAAACAATAGAGTTATATAGAGTTATAATGGGCTGCTGTATTTTTGTTGTTAAAATATTCCGTTTCAACCAAGTACTGTATGGTTTTAACACTTTTCTAGCTTGTTAAAAAAGTACATACAGTAAAAAAATTTTTTAAAAAAATCTCTCAAATTTTAGGGGTGCTGGGATTCAATTTAGGGGTGATTCAGCACCCCCAAAAATGGGCTAGAAACGCCTATGCCTCTGAGCAGGACATAGTATCAATAGTACAGTACACAGGTTATTCATGTGCAGGTGTCTGTAAACAGAGAGAAAACACTGCTGCTCTGCATCAGAAACAGACATCGCTTTATGTGACGCTTCAGACACCTCATTTCTCTTAAAACATATTTCCTTGTTTCCTTTCTCCTCGCATGGTTTTCTTGCATTTCTCCATGCATCCCTGGTGGGAAGGACTAAGACACAAGAAAAAGACCAAGTGAGGGAAATGTGGATGCAATTTAAGAAACTAAGGATGCACTCCATGATTCTTGTGACTCCGTTATTTGTCCTGCATTGAGCTCTGCAATATAACCAGCCTGCTGCACCTTGTTAATTTCATTATTGTAAATGTTGGCCAACGCAGTTGGTTTTCTCAAGTTTTAGCTCAGATCTGCAGAGGAGGGGCATTACTGATTCAAGTGAAATATTCAGTTCAGGTGCACCCTTCTTTTTTAACAGGGTGCTTTCTTCTATTTGTATGTAGAGGTGGGAGAAATAATTGATTCTTAGGTGCATCGCGATGCAGAGGTGGACGATTCCGCATAGATTCACAAATGTCAATAATCATTTATTTAAATGTTCATTAATAACGTTATGTTGACAGAACGAAAGAGGCGGAACTCAGCTACAAGGGCAGTGCAGCGCCCAGTCTACAGCCCAGACATGCTAGAGTGACTTTTAATTCATCATCTAAATAATTACATTTGCAGGTGAATGTGAAGTATATTGTAAATACTGTTTAAACAATCACCCAGAGACGATCATTAATTAAGCAGTGTTAGCAGTAACATTAACAGCTGAGACTGGCTGACCAACACAGGCTGCAGCATTAACCAAATTAAAAGACCTCTGTGGCGGAGAAAAAAACTACTCAGTCTGTTTCATCTCATTCTTCCGCTCCTGGCATATCGCAAATAACAACACAGCCGACTCGGCTCGTGCTACTCTCACACATGCAGGAGACTATATGGTGCATTTAAATTAATTATTTCATTACTGCAGTTAACTTTTCAACATAAAAACTCTGCAGACCATTTAATTTTCTACGGCACATGAATAGCATACCGTTTCCGGTAACATATTGCAGTATGCAAACACTGGACCATACACCGGAATGTGTACATCACATAAATATCCCACAATGGGTAAGTGTGAGCAACCCCAGATGGATACAATCCGTCTGACACTTCCATGTTCAAAATTCATCTGTTTATTTAATTAGGGATTATTACATATACAGTATACTATGTTAAAAAAAACATGTATTGAAATTTTAAGAATTGATGCATCGATAATCATTATCAAATTGTTGAGAGTCCCACCCTTAAGATCCACAAATGTCTTTTTGATCTACAAATATAAACTGGGTTCAGAAATACCTGTTTAAAAGTTAAAAATGTCAGAAAGATATTCACACATGCTTTTTACTTTCTTGTAAATTAATTAAATGTATTCAGATATTTTTTCATATGGGAAATTGGTCCATATATTTGCAGATCTGTTTTAAAATATCTATAGACTAATCCATGCCCATACAGTGCGTCTCTCAAAGCGGCAGGCTTTCATTCTTCATCTTGCCACTGCTGAGGTTGTGGATCATGGCGATCATAGTTGCATGTTTGTTGAGCTTCGTCTCCAGCTGATTCTTCTGCAGCTCCAAAGACGACACCTGCAAAATAGGAAACATCAAGGAAGGTTCAGTGAGGCTTCACTTTTTCAGTACATTGGCAGAAATGGTCTTCCATACAGTCTTGTTTGTTTGTTTTTTACTTTTAAACTATTTATTTTACAGTGTATATTATTTATATTATTTTTACATTAGCGTAGATTTAACAAAGCTCTTATTTTCTTGCTTTATATGTGTTTAAATGTGTTCTTTTTGTGTTCACACTGTGTTTTACTGCTACTGTGTATTATTTTCTTTATTCTGTTTAACTGATTGATAGTTTGTTTTTGATGGATGTTTTTGCCATGCTGCAAGCTAAACTTTCCTCAGAGTATAGCCTACAGATTGAATTTCCCCTGCTTCAAAGCAAACTAAAGGATCACTAGAAGTAAGGACCAACCATGTTTGGCAGGATTTATCTATAACTTTGGAGTGTTTTCTACCCGAATACTGGTCTGCAACATTTCCTTGATCATTTGATGGCTTCAGATAACAGATTTAAAATGCCTAAAAATATGAGTCATAAACTTTGTTTTAGAATTTGTTAGAAAACGAACAAAATCTAAACCTATACAGCAAAAAAAACAATAACACACTAATAACTGCAAGTGTGACCAGACTTTAGGACTTTTGATGCATCATTTCATGTTTCTAATGCAGCTTCATCACCTTGATGCTGAGATCCTTCCTGGCCTGCTCTGTCTTGTTCAGCTCCTCCCTCAAAACATCCACCATCTCCTCCAGATCTCTCTTCTCTTGATCCTTCTCCTTAACCTTCTCCTCCTTGGCCTGCAGTTCACCACGCAGACCTGACGGGAATGAGGCAAAGCATTTAGTGATGCAGACTAGGTGAATGAAGGGAATTCATGTCCTAGGATGCCTTCAAAAAATTTGCTCCCATTTCCCAGAAAAAAATGCCAGCAGAATTTAGCGTGTGTACTTGTGTACTAAAACAAAGACACAGTCTCCACAATGCAACCTCACTATCAAAGTCTGACCTTAAAACTTTGTGATTACAGTAATATAACTGGATCAACAAAGCCAGGCTTTGACTGGTGAAGGAGCTCACACACAAAGCTCTCAAAAAAACTAAAGCTTTCAAATATGTAAAGCTTTACCTCTTTCATGTTTCTCTATATCTCGTGCAAATTAAAGATCATGATCTCTGTTAATATGCAACTTTTGAAATAGTCAAAGTTTTTCACTGCTGGAAAGATGGTCTTTTCATAAAACTGGGTTGTCTATTAAAAACTGCTCTGCAGATGCAGGTTTTACGAGCTGAGTGATGATGACGTCAGACCAACCTGTGATCTCGCTGTTCTTCTGCTGTAGATTTGAACGGAGGGATCTGATCTCCTCATCTCTCTCCTCCAACACTGATGCCATCCTGACAAACACAGACAGAATTTAGAAAGTGTGCTGATGACTGAAGGGTCAGAGGTTTACTTCTTGCAGTATTCATGTACAAAGAAAGATGCAGAGATGAGATGCAGATGTGTGTGGATTACTTCTCATGCTGCAGCTGCAGTGCTTCGTGGTTCTTCCTCAGAGTGTCGTTCTGTTTGGTGAGTGCGATGTGAGCTGTCTGCAGCTCCTTGAGCAGTCGCTCGCTCTCGTTGAATCTAAACAGGAGATCAACCTTTTACACACTTTAAAAAAAAACTTGCACACACATGATGCTAAAGCCTCAGGGAACCTTCAGTCCTCCAGTTTGTTTCCTACGGCTTGAAACTCAGTGGAACGTTTGACTGTTGGATGTTACATTTAGAGATCTCATAACTATGGTCAACATGTGATTATAGCATCTTTATTATTCTGAAGGCTGTGCCACGGTTCAACAGAGCCAGGCTCTCTCTGTCTGAGCAGGCCCAAAAAACACTAAAGCCTCAGTCAGAGATAACAGGCACCAGGAAAGTGGTTAAGTCAGGCTTTCTGCTTCAGGCTCTGTGCACGTTCCCACAAAATTAGTCAAATGATCCGTTCAGTGCATCATTTCCATTAAGTTGTGAGAGGAGTGCTTGCATTAATATTACTAATCATGTCAACTCATGGGGGATTATATTTATTTTATCACTATTTATATCTAAAGTGACAGCTGCTCATTCTACAGCTCGGAAACTTTAAACTTGATGCAGCAAATTTAAACTTCATACTAAACTTTAAACTAAATACCAATAGACTAATCAAGTTTGTCATCTGTGTTCTATCAGCAATAATATACCAGCGGTGTGAAGTGGAGTTCAGCAAATCAGGACCAAACATAAAACCTGGTCCTGACCAGGTTAGGTCTGCTGCATAAGTAACCACGGCGATCTAGCCAGGTTAAAAAAGAGCCAACTTTGTAGGGCAGAAAACTCTAGCTTTAGGCTCAACATACCTCGCTAAGACACTAATCTTGCTTTGTGGTACGCCCCTCTGATGGCATATGTTTTTATAAATTAAATAAAAACACTGAAAGGGAAATCCAGTGCAGTCTATTTGTTTCTTTTTAAACACCCCAAAACAGAAACTGAACCAGGTGAAGAGACTTTGGTGACTAAGGAGTCAAAACAAATTTGATCCCAGTCTTTGTAACTTTCTCTAAAAATTATGAGCTGTTTGTGCTGTTTGGCTCTGATGTTCCTAACACTTGAGAACACGCAAAGAGCTGAATTTAATCATTTTTTAGACTGTCCAAGACCAGCGGATACACTAAATTTAAACAGATCTGTTGTATCTATGCTGCCTCTGACCTGTGTAGCAGGGCATTGTAGGCTCCTTTGAGGGCCTGGTGTTCCTCCGAGTCCTTCTGAAGCCTGGCATTGTGCTGCAGCAGCTCCGCCATGTCAGTCTTAGAGCGCTCCACCTCTAGCACCTGGCCGCTCAGCTCTCCCTGCAGATCTTCACGACGACGCTCAGCCTCCTTTAGCAGGGAGCCTAGCTTACGGGCCTGCAGACAAAGACGCACAGAGAATAATTCCCATTTTGTGACAAGGCCAGTTGGAGTTGATTTGCTCTGGTAGCGGCATGCGCCAGTGACACTGACTTTTAGAAATGTACCAATCTGTTCCACTTCTTTTGAGCTTCTGTGATTTTGCCGTAATAATGCTCTGCTAGAGCCACATACAGCCAGCAAATAGTCTGGGGTTTTAACTGGTTCAATGTGTTCCTCCAGAGCTAAAGAATAGTCAGGCTTCACCTCTACAGCACCTATTATCAAATTATGTTTGTCATTTTATCACTAAGAGTTGAATCACACACTGACATACAACTTGTAATGTTTTTCAGGGCGTTTTCTTTTGCAGGGCCGTTTTAATGACAGTGCTTGCCTCCCCAAATGCAAATGTTCCACCAAAAGAAGTTCACCCACGACACTACTTTGCAAGAGCACCGTCGCTGCATCTTTGTCTTGGCTCCGCCCAAGATGATTGTGATTGGTGAAAGAAACACTAACAATCTAGAGCATTTTTTGCTTTATAGCACAAAGATAATTGGTGGTTCCAGACCTTTCTCTAGGACAGACATAGCTGTGGAGATAGATCTGACTGTGCAAAATGAGCAAAAATGTTGCCAATTCATTTTCTGTCAGTTGTTTCAGCTCAGGACAAAAAATGCTGCACATTTAACTGAGGAACTTGAGGACAATAATAGTTCGTCGGACTAAAGTCTGATGTTTGTCTGTTACCAGCAATAACATCTATTCCTGTCTATCTCTGTAGCTGTGTGTGTGTGTGTGTGTGTGTGTGTGTGTGCGTGTGCAGCATGTGTTACCTCGGCCTCAGCTTGAGCTTGCTTGAAGCGATACTGAGCGATAAGACGTTCGGCCTCAAAAAGAGCCACAGCCTTTGCCTTCAACAAGTCCTGCAGACGACTCTCCTCAGACTGACGAGGAAATACAAAGATATTACTATTCAAACTCATCAGATTTTTAATTGTGTGTAATCCAGTTATATGCTTTAACAGACGACCCTCCAGCAGGAGAGGTAATACTTTACTCTAAAGACCTTAAAGCATCTACTGCAGTCTAATGTCTCTACCTTACAACACATCTTACCTTTGTGAATCCCATATTGTTTAGTTTTTCTAGACACTTTGTCAAAAAGGTGTTTGAGGCAATAGTTTTGTGCTGCTATTGTGTAAGATTAATTTATCTTTTAAGTCATTTTGTATTTGTATAAAATTTCATTGTTCCGTGTGTGGGAAAAAAAGAGGATGGAAAAAGAAAAACTACACATAGTACAATGCAAAAATACACTCAGTTGCAAAAACTCAAACTTGAATGCAATCATATACAACAGCAGCATAAACATCAGCCCCAAATGTTACCACAGACCTTAGTTCAAACTGAGGAAAGGCTTTACAAAGGCAGGACTTATGGCAAGTGTTCAGAACCAAAGCAGGATCACGACTCCCACTTTTTTTTAAACAACTGCATTTTCAAGTAAAATATTAAGCTTACATCCAGCAGTACTTGTCAAAATATAATCTCCTCTCTTCTGACAAACATACTCACCGCAAACACAGAGAGCTTCTGTTCGTAAACATCGATGATCTCGGACACATGTGAGTGATTAACCTGTTCCCGCAGCTATAAACAACAAAGAGAACATCAGTGATAAATGCTTTTCACACTGGAAGCAATAAGTTCATTGTAATAGTTTCAACATGCTATTTGTCACAATGACAAACTACTATGCTTTGTACATTTATGACATATTGTCACTGGCTGTGTGTCTTATTCTCTCAAACAATTTTATATGAATACTTGTTAGAAGAGCTAAAATGATCCAGTTATCTATTAGACATAATCTTAGTAAGAAAAAAGTATCTCCAAATGATCTTGCCAAACCCCAAGAAGGTCAAAACCCCAGGATTTGAACAACATCGCTAGACTACACTTTAAATTATGTTTTATTTCATGATGTTGACACATCCGACTGACATTTTGTTCCTCTTATTTATTTGTTCAAATGTCCACATTTACTGGCAACATTTGTGTAATTTAAGAAATTCAATTTTGCCTTCCTTCAGCAAGGTTAGCTTAGGTTTCCCAACTGAAGCAGCCCTAAATATATTTGGATCAACATAAATCTACAAAAGTCAAGAAAAACATATTTTGTTCCTCTACACATTTTAAATTAAAAGTTGAGAGGAGAATGCACACATACATTTCTGACCTCAAAGCATGACTTTTAGCCTCTATATCATCAGACTCTTTAAATGAAAATAAAGGCATAAATACATTTTATACTCTGCAATAGACATTTAAATGATGCTTTCATACAAAATGGGCTAATGTGCTAATAAATGCAACAAATTAAAGAAGCTAAAATACCAGATAGCGGTGAACAAGTGTAAGATTACCTCTAAGGTGTTCTGTATCGTCTCTGCCAGATTGTGGACGCTCTTGCTAGAGCCACTGGCAGAGTCCATTACACTGGAAGGTGGGAACTCCTGCACTGCAACATGTCTGACAGACAGCTCAGCCTCCTTCTGGCGATAGGCGTTGTTGGCGGCCATACTTTCACCCAGACTTTGGAAATATGGTTTGATTAAATAAGAGTGGAAACATTTCACAACGTACAATATATTCACATAATCAATTTTACCACCAAAATACATTAAGATTTTTGTATTAATTGTTATTAAACATGCAAAACACTAAAGCAGTCTATTATTGGCCAAGTTACCAATATACTGTGCCAATTTCTTTAGTAAACAGTAAAACCAGCTATAATATTGTAGTCTGCTACAAGTGAGTATTTTGAGAAAATAAGACGATAAAGTCTTTATGGCTTGTGACACCATCAGTAATCAGTGTCTACTTGATACTCATAAGTTAAGCCTTCGTATAAACTGAAGTTATGCACAGTTCAAAAATGATCTTTCCTTCTGATTGTTTCATTTAAAGGAATTTTAGAGACATTAAGAGGTGAAATTATCCTGTGTAACAAGGAAAAAAAGTAAAAATTTCAGAAAAGACAAAAATTAAGGATGTCAATGGTTAATTGATTATTGGTGGGTTGCCATTAATAATTTAACCAACTAAAAATATATCAACTGATAATGTCTGATGCAGTAGTCAGAAAACATGCCGATTTCCTGTAGTATGCACTTGCGCCACTAGGTGGAGCCTCCCACTTTATAATGAGTCTGAGGCTGTGATTGAATAGTCAAAAGAAACCTCCTTTTCCAAGCACTTTTCCTTAACCTTACCTAACCAACCTCTTTTTAATGATTATAACACTGAAAAGACCTACCCTGCTCTACTAACAGTCTTTATTTTTTTAACCTGTTTTCATGACTGAGTCAGTTTACATCCTGGATACATCCTTCAAACACGTACTGCAGACCCTTCTGACTGCTTGCCTCTGAAATTGCTGTGTCGTTTTCCCGAAAAAAGTTATAACATTTTTCAGGGAGTGCAGTCAGTGACAGTGTGTGCTCAGTCCTAGCTCCAACAGCGTGATGGACGATCAGCAGCTAACAACAAAGGGGCAGGGCTTAACAAAGGGTCAAATGGATTTTTCTGGTTGGAAACCTCTGACCTTACAGCGTCTGTTAGGGTAATCAATACACACAGTGCCTCTCTTACATCTTCTATGCTTAACATCACCAGACATAGATGGGGCCTTCTGTCTGTACTATCAAGACTTCCTTCACCGTTGCATGTTTGTTGTTGTCAGAAACTTCTGACTGTGTCCTCTAGTGCCATCCAGTGTATGTATCTATGCCAACTTAAAGCAACACAATAGAGGATTGCGCTTTTTACCTCACGGGGTCCCCCTACAGACGAAAAACGGTATTGTCTGTTACAACTGTCGCAAAAATCTTTTTACGTGTGCATTTGTTGACAAGCCAACGATACCAGTGAACTTCCTGAAGCTGGCCGTGTAATGCGCGATCATCACGTCTTCAGAACAGGTAAAGTAGCCTTTTAGCACTTTGTACATGCATGATTAGGCTGATTGCTTTATTTATTTATTCATTTTCGAAACTCAGAAATGAGTTGCTCTCTGCATGTCAGGGCTGACCTCCTCCTCACTGCGTGCACGTGCACACACACACACACACACACAGCAGAGAGGCCGCAGTGCAGATGAAGGGAATATAACATCAAGATTACTCTAGTTGACGACAACTACGCTTGTTACTGTAAGTAAGTGCGATAAAACCTCTGCCAGCCAAGCCAATACACAGTTTGTCTTCAACAGCAAACTGTTAAAGACAAACTGAAATGAAAGCTGTCTGTATGTAGGCTAACACTTTGTCTTAAAATGTACCTGTGGCGGCCGACCGGCAGACAGTGAGTCTCCTAAGTAGAAGGTAACAGCAGTAACAGCACCAGGTCAACATTGGTCGGGCATCCCTCCTCCTCTTTCAGCTCTCGCCTTGTTCGAGCTCTTGTTGTATCGCTCTCCCGTTTTCTTTTCTTTGTCTCCTCGGACAACACTTTCACCTTCTTCCTTTTCTTTGTCGCTTCAGCCACGACAACCACGTCTAACTTCGTTCACCTCGGTTCAGCTACGCTACTCTAAAGAGAGGAGGGGGATATCACGTATGCCGTAAAGCAGGCAAATTATGTAGTGCTTTTTTTTTTGTCCGGGTTCCTACCCGAACCCCGAAACTGCATAGTGCCAGTGCAAGCAAAACAGACGCTCTCAAGCAATGACGGAGTTGTCATCCAACCTATTGTGAGTTGATGTACCATCACAAGGATCCTGGATATATATATTTTGAGGGCTCAAAAACTCCATTGTGTTGCTTTAAAGGATTCATGTGGGTAATGACGGCACAACATTTGAAATGAATGTATCTATTTGCGCATATAAAGGAAGTATAAATGAGCCTTTAGTCATGTCGTGCCAACAGATAACATTTGTTTTTAGAGACTGGTTGGTGATAAGTGATTTGTTTTTTTACAGAAATATAATCATGTTGTTTCCAGCGAGTGACTCACACTAGAGAGGGAAAGTCTGGGAGGGGTGAGGCTTCAAACAACAGACAGAGTCCAGTCTGCACACGCTTTCTGTGGTGGGATGTCAGGGCCAGAGAGAGGGGCATCACTGTCCTCTGGTCCTGAAAGGTAAAGACAGAACAAATATAAAACCCAGTTCAGGCCAAAGATTTCCAACAGGAGGACGAGTTAAAACTTGCAACTACTTGCAATGCACCAGTCTGCAACATTCTGAAAACCTGCAAGTTTACGCCACTGCAACTGGATGAGATGGTGTATTGTCTCCATAGCAACAACTCTCTGTACTTCCTCATGATTATTTTGTGGCTGAATATAATTTGTAGCTTCTTAAAGTATGAATGAGGATAGTGATAGTGAGACACTGGTTACAGCTGCACTTCAAGTAGTGATGAAATGGCATAAACATAAACAAAATTACCTGAGCTGCAGAGGGACTGCAGCCTATTCATAATAAATATGCAAAAATAATTTAAATAACAAGCGCAGTTAATCAGTCAACAGGCGTGGGGATGTATATGAAACAGGCTCAGGCTGCTGTCAGAGAATGCCATATCAAGCGAACACGCCATCTGCTGACAGTTTGCAATTGACTTGGCCAGCGGACGACAAGTTGATCGGCTTTTTGACTTGCCTTCCATTCTAAAACCAGCCATCGGCAACTTGACAAGATGAATCACAGTTGACACCATCAGCCAGCTGGAGTCGAGCTGAGACCGGCCAGTTTAAATAACTCTTCACAGAGAAAACCACAGAACGGAAAAGAAAGCAAAAGATAAAGCACAGTGGGTGACAGAGGTGATATGTGTGAGTGTGTGTGTGTACCTGTAACATCCTGTAGAAGCTGGTTTCCATGTCCTTCACCTGTTGTCTCAGCTTGCTCATCAACTCAAGAGTCGTCAGCAAAGCTTCTGCACACACCTGACTGAAAAACAAAACACAAAATTATTACTGTTTGTACTAAGGCTGCAACCACTGGAGAAGTATCAACATCTTTCACAGGCATCTGGTCAGAACTACAGCACCCACTCACCTGAGATCGTTGTCAGAGCTTGGGAGGTGGCAGGTGAGAGGGCTGTTGCTATGACAACAGGAGAGGAGGGATTCAACCTGCGAGAGGCAGAGCTGAGCACTCACATGATGGGACACCAAGGATCTGGTGGAGTCCTCAGCACACAGGAGTGGAGGAGTTAAGGCTTCAAAAATAAACACAAACAGACAAAATATAGCCACAAGTAGCGACCCTGGGGTTCAAGCCAGCATGGACTGTTAGAAGTTTGAAGCTGTGAAGGATCAGGATCTTTGACAGTTTAAAACACCTGCATTAAAGATTGGTCAATTCCAGAAACACTTTGAGGATAAACTTCAATAGGCTAAATTAAAAATATCCATTGAGTTTGGGGAAGTTTGCACAAACTTTGATTTATGGACAAATTTTGCCCCAAGCCCATACACTTGTTGTAAATGGTGGCGCCCCCTATTGATGGATTTTAAAATAATTTTACACGTGGTTAAACATTATTATTTGACATATCCTGTGAGTTTTGTTATGATTGAACAAACCAACAAAATGCATTTTTCAAAAAGTCAGAAACATCGGTGAATCTAGTCAGATGGACTTTAACAGTTTTGAGGCTTTTTGTAGAGCACATTGAGCTGGACTTGTGTGTCCAATTTCAAGTCAATCTGACTTACAGTGTCGGGAGTTATAACCTTTAATTACAGTGCCCTCATAGTCGACTGAGATCATATTTCTTGGGCAGCATTACACAAAACTTCCAATAATTGGTTAGAATGTTGTTTCTGTGATGTAGATGATGCAGGACAACCACCACTCCACCCAGCTTAGTGTTGGCAAGGTGCTGTGCCGATGTCTGGTCTGATGAAGGACCAATGGCCCAAAAAGCCTTTCTACGCTTCTTCTTCTACTGAAGAAAAAGAATAAATCTGCACAAAGACAAAAGGGTTTCAGTCACAGGGGAAGGATATTAAGCAGCAGGCTGGTGACATGTGTGATGCGGTGGCAGTGTTTTCTGAGGTGAACGTCTCCCTGTGCAGGATCAAGGCCCCTCAGCAGCCCTAACAGGACAGGAAGCAACATTTCTACGAAACTCAGCACACATTCAGACACACTCTCTGCTCCCAATGCCTCCTGGACAGAGAGAGAGGAAGCCACATGAAGGGGAAGAGAAGAGGAGAAAGTAAAAAAGTTAGCAGAAACAAATTAGACCCACAGCTAAATCAAACACTGCACTTAAACTTCAGGTCTGAGGTCAGGACTTAAAACACCATGTGAGCTGTGTATGTTTCTCAGCTCTACATGCACTGAGCCTCTTCACACTTTTCACACACCGTAGATCCATTTTCTCACACAGCTAAAAATATATTTACGACTCATAATGTTGTGGTGTGTAGAGAGGACAGAGAGTGCACAGACAGACAGACAGACATCAGCAGTGAAACACTGCGCTCAAGCCAGCCGTCGTTTGGATTTTGATACTTGGCTATTCGTGCTGTTATGGTACTGGTGCTTGGAGCTGCCAAGCCATCAATCATTACATTACATACATCAATAATTTATTAAACACTGTATACTAAATAAAGTATTTTTGAATATGTGACATCACCGAAATGTTTCTGTGTTAGGTTTGTTGAGAAGTGCAATGTATTTCTGCTCAAAACGTTCCTATGACCATATACTCTTTGATATTGTAACATTCATTCACTTTAAAACTCATAAGTTAATTAATAAAAGTTTCCTTCAGAGGTTTGGTGGAATTTCCAGTGTAATCTTGTTCAGGATGACCCTGGCTAAGACCACGTCAAATCTGAATTTACTGCACAGTTTCTGAGACAGTTAAAGGGAATGTTAGCTCAAATTACATTATAACACATTGATGATTTCCTCATATTTGAACTGTTACAAAAAGAAAATGTTGCAGTGGTCAGTGTTGGATTTCTTTTGGTCAGATCCAGTCGCAGCTGTGGCGGTAGTGCTGAGAAAGAAGCACAAATACACCAAATGATGCAGTAAAAACATGCTTTGGTGCTGTTACAAAAAAATGTGCATATAAGGGTAATGTTAGAATTTACATGCACCAGTGCATGTGCACAGGTCAACAGTGAACCAGTAAAGAGAAAGAGAACAGCACAAAAGAACACACAAGGCAAGACAAAGAGCAATGTTGGATAGGGAGGTCAGTACTTTTTTACTGCCGACCAGAATGTGTCTATACCAAAAGCTGGCATCAACTGTCTGGTCAGAATTGAAAAAAAATAAAATAAAATAAAAAAAAAAATCAGATATTTAAAGATTAAATTCACAGTTTAGCCAGTTTATTCAGAATTTTTTTCTATGGTCATTTGTGTTTAGACAAAGTTTTTGGAGAAAAAATTATGTTCCTCAAAATTAGATATTGGAAAGTGATTATTTTGGCATCAGTGCTATAAACTGGGTCTCATAA